AAAGGTTTGTAGCAAGAGCAGGAATAAGCACTTGCACCGTTTAAGGAGAAAAGCAGCTATTTTTCACATGTTCCTCAAGGGATGCTTTAAGCGTGGAATTTGCCTGTTGAACCCTGGATGCTGCTATGCAACCATTACTCTTCATCTTCCCCAAAGTTAGTTTTGAACCATACACTCAGAGATGAAAGGCACCATTTAGCTTCTAACTAGACTGAAGCCTTTGCTGTCTTTCTGTCCCTTGTTCTCTCTCCTTAAGCTCTGCATTAGTTTATATCCCAAATCAAACTTTTCAATAGCACCAGACTGTTTAGAAAGGTGTTTTAAAGAACATCTGTTTAATGTGTATCTGGAGTTCGCTTTGTGGTGGGCATATCTTCTGTCAAACGTGGTGCAATTCCATTTTATAATGCACAATTAATACTTTGCCTGAGTGTGTTTTGAGGGCTCCTAATAATATTGACATATCAAATATACTGGCTAATGTTTTATGATCTATCACACACAAATCCCAGGAAAAAAAGAGTCCAATCTGTGATGTAGAGTTTAATCTTCTACTCAGGAGGTGTACTGATTGATTTAGTTACATTCTGTTAGTACCTGGACTACCCTCACTGATACCAATGGCTGTCCTGGGCTAAAAGGCTGGGATCTGACCTGCTGTTCCTTCAGGTGGCTCATTTTCCATATCACAGAGAGTTTCTAAATTTGGGAAGAGGATGGTTTGTATTTAGACAACAGCAGCCAGCACTTCAGAGTGATAATTCAGCCTGCTTTGGTATTCAGGGATGAGAGTGATTCAGTGGAAAAAGTGTCCACATCAGTAAAAAATAAAAAGTATGTATTTTGCCATGCTAAAGGGAGAGAAAGGTTAAAGTTTAAATGGACTTGAGCCATACCTTGGCAGCAATGCCTGCTGGACATGCTTGGAAGAAATTTGATTTTGTACCAGCTGTGCTGCAGCTGGTCTCCAGAGTAGAAGAGGACTCTCCTTGATCTCCAGAATTAACTAATGTCCTGTTTTTCTCTTTGTAGGATGATGCTAGCACCTCTCCTTCACCCAGTACACGAGGTCCCACCCAGCAGCAGCAAAATGCATCAGGTATTAAATCAAATGACTAGTGGTTTCATTGTCTTCTAGACTAGATTGTCTTCTTTGCCAACTCTAGACTATGGGTTCATCATCCTGCTTCTGAGTGCAGCCACAGTAACTAACAGAAAAATTCCCAAATACCTATTGTTTTAAAACTGTACTGAGCAAGAAATGGTGATTTTATATGCTTCACAGCCAAGAAAATGACAATACAGTCAATTTAGTTAAAGGAGTCCAGACATGTAGCTGAGGATCTGTCTTCAATATTGTGCACCTGAATCTTCTAAGAGAAAAAAGCTGTATTATTTTACTCTTGGTAGTGTAGCTGTCATGGTTTATACAGTTGGGATTTGGGTCTCAGACTCTTACTCTTCCTTAACCTAGTAGCTTGTTGCAGTAAGCCTGATCCTGAGAGTTACTAGGTGGAATTAAGGAGCCTCCAAAATAGGTTTTTCCTATGATGACTTGAAGTAACTATATCTGAGTAGATAAGCTGCAAGCCAGTCAGATTCATCCTTGCTTCGGCTTGACTTTCATACATGCTAAAAGAAATCTTTCCCAAGGGAGTAAGTATTTAACTATTCCAGCTTCCTTTTGGAGCAAAGCCCAGGGAAAGGGAAGAAGCCAGGAGAAAGGTGCACATAAATGAGGACTGAGATCTGGTGTTTTCCTGGGAGTGCCCATAATTCTTTTAAAGAGCTTTTTAGGACCTCACAGAGGAGCAAACCTTTATGTATAAAGTTGTGTGTTATTCAGGTCTCTGAAACAGTGCATTTATTTTAGACTATTTGCATAGGAGGAGATTGGTAATATGTAGTAAGTATTTTCAGGAACAAGGGTTATGTAGTACAGCTTTTGGGAATGTTCTGCAAGTTAGAAATGTAGACAACATTAAATAAATTCTCTGTGGAGATTTACATAGCGGGGGTCTCACTGCCTTTTTTATGATACATTCACATTTTCTGCCACCTATGCAGACAAAAAAACACCAAGACTTTTTAACTTAAAATATAAATAAGTATTGTACTGAATAAAATAAACCTTGATGCAATTAGCCTGTATTTCTTAATAGAAGTGATCTATGCTTTTCCTCCTGCTGTTCCATTTCCATGGCTTTTTCATTTAACTATCAAGTCCCTAATTAAAGGGATCACTAAGCAGATTTTTGCCAGTGCTTTCTCTATAATGTAGGCAACTGCACTCATTCAGCAATCCTGCTTTCCTGAATCTAAGTCACTTATCCTCACTGAATGAAAGCAGCTGTATAAGACAATCAACTTCAGGATTTTTTTATCATTAGAGAAAAAATAATACACAGTACCTTTTCATTTTTGTTTTGCAGACTCTGGGAAGAAGCCATGGGAAAGGAGCAATTCTGTTGAAAAGCCTGTATCTTCATTACTTTCTAGGTGAGCTGCATGGGGTGTCCCTGCGGCTGGCTGGCAGTCGGGATGGTCATGCTGTCCCTGTGGCACGTGCACAACTCATGTCTCCTTTCATTCCATTGCTGTAGAAATCCATCAGTGGTGAAGAGCTGTGAAGCTAAGAGCCCCACACAATCCCACGTGTCTTCTAGGTATTGGCTAACAATCTGGCTTCTTAACCATCTTGGCTTGTCCTTTGGCTAATCCCATCATTCATTACTAATGTTCATCTTCTGTCGTGTCCTTTACTCATTATCTTACAATCTGCTTTGTCTGTTGCTGCACAAAGTGTGTCATGTCAAAGGCTTGTTCCATGGAAACAGCTCCCTGCTCAGGTGGGCACAGGCATCATAGACATGAATCACACCTAAGCAAGTGCTTAAAGCAGCTGTGCTTGTGACTCAGAGGCATGGGCTAGGCAGCGCACTGTGCCACATGGAAGGCAGGCTTTGGAGCATCTTTTTCCAGCAGGTTCAGGATGATCCTGCCAAAAGGAGAACTTTTCATTGTCCAAGTTCTGCAGAAATTCAAAAGCAAAGGCAGAACTGGTCTGAAGAGCCTGCAACAGGGAAAAGGGAATTTATTCCTCCATCCATGCAACTGCAGTGGGTGCATGAGAGAGGAGAGCAAAGCTTGGTGTAATAAATTAATAATATTGAGCTGTAAAAAGGCCTGGCCACAGACAGGGCATTCAGAAATGTGTGATACAAAAGCTGACAGGTGTCAAAAGCTAAGACACCTAAAGTAGGACTCCAGAAGTCCTGTCGGTCCAAAGAGCCAAGTTGCAGTATCACCACCCATGTTCTTATCCACAGAGATTGAGATAAAGTTTGCTGTTGGACAGCTAAAGAGAGACTTCTTTCCAGTGCTGGTCCAGGACCACCCAGTGTTACTGCAGTACCGGACACTGAGATGGATGGATAAGCTGAATTAGGAGGTAGAACACAGATTTACATATGTTTAGCATTTACTGAAAAGATGTGTCCCTTATTTTACACTGTTACATGTATGGCAGTGCTGATAGTCTGCATAGAGAAAGTTGCCAATGGCAACTATCTGCACAGACTTGCTGCTGTGTTAAAGATACTGGATCATGCCCTGACCAAACATTGAGAGGGGTATACCAGTGTTACTAGAGCAAAATATAGTCTCTCCAGCTCTCCTAAAACTAATGGGACACATTGGTTATAGGAAATATATGAGTTTCCAATAGATAAAGAAAGACCATTCCCCTACAAATGGGAATGAAACCTGGGCTATTTAAAGCAGCCGTCAAGTTTTCACCAGGTATCTTCTATAATGCTGTTCCATCCTGGGAGGAGGAGGAGTTCAGAGGGAAAAAAAGCCTTTCCTCATTTAACAGCTGGAGTAGTGCTCAGTCTTTGCTTGCTCACATGACTTCTGTGGGGGAAGCTGGGTGGGTTTCAAAAGCCTTCAGCAATGACCTGTTTCTGTTCCTGTTCAGTGTGATGGCATTTGTATCTGTCTTAACTCCCAGCTTAGCTGTGAGATGGTAGGAGACATGTTAAGATTTTCCTGAGAAGGTGTTGCAAGACCAGGCGTACTGTCAGGAGCAGCACAATCTCTGCCAGCTCCCAGTTTGGGCCCAAAGATGATGGCAAAGTTATTTGAAGCCTTTTCTAGAAATTATAGCATGGTTAATTTTTGAAATGTTTTAGAGTTACTGGTTAAAGAGAAAGTCAAGCAGCTTCTGCTTCCTTTATTTATTTTATCAGCCATCATCGGAGTTCAGCCCACTGACAAATACCATCCTGGAAGACTGATAACACTCAAATGTACTAGCCACTAAGGGCAGATTGGTTTTGTTGCTGGGTCAATAAAAATTGACACAGTGCTATATCAACAAGCTCCACTTGACTCAGTCAGGCCTCCAAAGGAGAGGATTTCTGGGTTATTATTGTCCCTATAATATTTTTCTAACCTGTATTCTACTATTAGTTTAGCACTTGATTAAAGTCTAGGTGGCCAAGACAGGGTTGCTGGACATAAAACAGACTGTGAAAGAAAACCAGACATCTAGCTTGCAAATTACAATTGCTGTAACAAAATACATTGTCAAACAGGCTTTATTCCCCTAAAGACACCTCAGCATTTTCTGGTCTGAAATCATTGAGACTCCAAAAAAAAAAAAAAAAAGAGTAAATGAAGTTTCAGTGCAGCTTCCTCCAGTATGTCTGTGATAGGAGAAAGCACCTTTGAGGGCCAGGCTGTGCAAAGGGAGCAGTGCTGCTTTCCAGCTGCCGACCTCTCCTGAGCAGCACAAGAGGGAGCCTCCAGTCCAGCGCTGGAACATGGGTGCTCCTGCTCTGGGGTGGATTTCATCCACGCCATCAGGTGGGTGTAGCTTAGCATTCATTGCAAAGACCTGACTGGCTTTTTTGTCCTTTTCTTCCATTTCTCAAGGATGAAGCCAGTGAGCAGCAGCAATGATGTGGCTATGGATGCCTTAGATTTTGATCGAATGAAACAGGTGAGTGAAAAAGTCTTTTGCACTTAAGAGATGTGACGAGCTACCCATTTTCCCCCATGCATGCGCTGTACAAGCAAAACAGCTGTTCAGTCTTCTGATTTCCTCTATAACTAGGTGCTTAGAGAAGGGCTAGCTGGTGAGCAGCAAGAGAGCACAATCTCACTGCTATTTGATCAAGATGTCTGTACAGAAACGTGCAAATAAATATGCCAGCATCTTCTGCGTCCTTGGCCTGGGAGTGCAGACGTAGCTGTTAGTAGTGCTAGGCTCTGCTCGTCAGCAGAGGCGGGGAACAAGCACAACCATGTTAAACTTGCATTTTCTTCCACCGGTTAGAAGGAAATTCTGAGCAGCTGACTTGTGTTTTGTCTCATCAGGAAATATTGGAGGAAGTTGTAAGAGAGTTACACAAAGTGAAAGAGGAGATAATTGATGGTAAGAAAGAGAAAAATTATTATTTTTCTCATCTTTATGACTAATTTCCTGTAGATAAGATGATAGGAACTGCAGAGTTCCCTGGTGTTTTCAGACTTCTTTGAGCAGCTCTGATTTATACACACATTTGAAGAACGAGCATCTACCTTATCTGAGCTCTGATCGTGACATTGTGTTTACATCCTTTATTTTTATGCTGTTGACAAGCACTTTCACTTCCAACCTGTGAGAAATTCACTGGCTGGTGTTTCTCACAGGTGGGAGGGTGAGAAAGGGCCTGCCCATAGCCCGTGGCATGTCCATTTATCACAATCAGGGAGTGTGAAATCGTTTGTAACTAGCTGGCCACACAGGTCCGTGATGAGGAGGGGACAAAGGTACCAAACTGAAAATCCTTCCTGAGCATCTTTTGTAGGCTTCCTATGCTTGAAGAGCTATTTCAGACCTCCACTCAATTACAGCTTCCCAAATAGCCACATATTTTTACAATTCATTGAAAAGTACAACAGCTGTACTAAATGTATCAATACTTTTTCGTAAATTGCTTTGCAATATATGATTAAACGTACTTTTCAGGGTCATTATTGAAATGCGCAACAAAATGCCTATTTGAAGCCCACATTAGGGCATACAAAGATGCATGTCCACACCCTGCACTCCCCACCTTAGATTCACACAGAAGGGGAAAAAGAGGAGACTGTAAAACAGCTAAAATCCATTCCCTGTCCCCTTGCCCTAGACCCGTGTGCTCATAAAACCTCAGGGCAGTTTCCAGTTGAGGAGACCCCCCTCCTGTACGCTACCGTCCCAGCAGCTTGGCCCTCAGAGCCTCCCTAGTTCATTCCAGTGCAAAGTAAGACATTCACATAAACCACAGATGCAACTTCTTATCCAGTACTGCAGTTTGCAAGCAAACAGCTGACTTCTTACCCTTACTCATCCTTTTACCCTCCACTCATCCTTTTACCAGCGTGTACTTTCTGCAACCTCTATACTTAGCATTTTCCATCACACTGAGTATAACATTATGCATTAACTTTTTGGTTTGGTTTTCTAGCCATACGGCAGGAGTTGAGTAGAATCAGTACAACATAATGATTGCAAAGCATTTGGACGGTACTAAGAATGCTAGGAAGATCGGATCATTTCTAAGTGTACCAAGGTCATGCAAGATGGTGAGAGGACACCGGCACTGTCTTTGTTCTTATACCCTTTTTATTAGCAGACTCAGCACACTTTGAAGCTTGCTGCTGCCTTGGATTCGCTTCATTTTAAAAGTCTTAATCTAAAGAATATTAAATTTTAAATTTCTGGATTTTTTAGATTTCATCTGACACTGCACATTGGATTTGTCAGCCTTTTTTGTATTTTGTATTTGCTTATTTAAATGTATTACCTTTCTTTTTAGTAGTAGATAAGAACACATGTGAACCATTTGCTTTTGATAGATGACTTCAAAGTAATTTTACTAGTAGTCTGCAATGTAAATGAAGATCCTTTGCCAACAGAAATGTATTGTGGCATCACCAGAAGAAACAGAGACGTTAGTTGTCAGCCAACAAGTTCTTTGTCTCAGAGTTATCACAATATAAAAAAATGGTACGTCAGTGCATCACAGTATCTGTGTTCATATTGGTAATAAACTGTTTATTGTCCACATGGCCCTGCCTTTCTTTGTTTCATTCATCCCTTGAGCTCCCACACTTTTATGTCATTTGGGCTGACGACAAGAGGAAGGTGACTGAGACGGTGGGGTGGCAGCTCTGCCCAGCCAGCACCTCAGAGCATGAGGAGAGAGAGCCTGAGCGTCTTATGGCTGGTGCAGTGGCAACAGCCCTGCCTTCTTCTACAGGGAGACGTGGCTCTCACCTGCCCGGCCCTCCTTGCATTGCCGGCTGAGCACCACCTCCTGCAGTCAGCCTGCAGCAAGCTCAGCAACTTTTAGCCAAAGTCAATGGAGAGCTTACGGCTCCTCTCAGGCCACCACAAACTCTCCCACTGCATCTCCTGCCATCACTGAAAAAATCCCAGGTCCCACCACCTGCACTCGTAAGGGCTTCCAGTAAATAAAAGGGAGGTATTGATGCAGAGCAAGGCTACCACAGGCCTTAGGAGGATGCAAGCTGAAGTCACTGGCACAGCACTGCTGAACTAGAGGCTTAAGGGGAGTCATTTGTTAATACCTCACGTTTCATTTGTTAACGTGCAGGTCTTGAGCTTTATTTCATGGAAAGTGACACCAAACACTTAACAGCAGCACACACTCAGTCATATCTTTCAGGTCATACAATTTTTTTTCTTTAGAGCCATTCCTTCCACCAGCGCAATCTTGAGACTTTCTGCTTGACTTAGTTTGGCACAAGCTTTACATGGCAGTAGTCTTGATACCATCTTTTTGCAAAAGGCAAGAGATTGGAGTTCAGCTATTGAAATCTGTCAAATATTTTCCAAGCCTCCTGCTTTGCTTCAGGCCTTCCTGAAGATTTTGTTTTAAAAGCCAGGCCCCAGGAATGGTTTTGGGGGCAGAGCCTGGTGCAGCAGCCCAGGAGAGCCTGTGGTTGTCCCCTTGCTCGCGTCCCCCAGGCCCTCACAGAGCACAGCAGTGGGCAGGAGGGACTGTCACTGCCTGCCAACAGCAGGAGACCCAGGAGAGGAGGCGAGTGGGGTGTGCTTTGCAGTTAGCTGTAAAATGTTACCCACTTTGGCTTGGAGAGCATGAGGTTGTTGTTCAGCATTCTTCGAAGCAACCCAATCTTCCTTTTAGCAAAGACTCTTTTTTGCAGTGTGGTTATACTGTAGATTAAATATGGGATAAATTTTAGTTTAATGCAGCGGTGACCTCCAGTCTGAGCCTGATGTCTGTTAGCTGCTTAATGCCAGCAGAAGGCAAGAGACAGGTTAAAGCAGTGGGGTAAGATTTTCACATAGGAACTAAAGCAGGCAGACATTGATGTGCACCACAATACAACCACCCCAGTACCATGAGAAGGAGCCTTTCCAGTATGAAGAATACAGACAAGCATCAGTAACAGCGAAGATGATAATGCTGTGTTACATAAATCTCATACAGTAGCTCCTGTGTTTCTTAATTATAAACCCATTAAGTGGTATGCCAGCCAATGGCAAGTACTTTTCAAAACTGCTGTCTCTCAGATGATCACAACCATTCTGTGAAACTCTCCCATAATCTTAATTAAGCTTCAGGAAGTTTGGGCCTGGCATGGTTCACGTGTTCCCTTGGAATGTGGCATTATGCCTAAGGTCAGGGCCAGGCGTACAGCCTGGATACGGTGTGCTCCTCTGGTAACAGCAGCCACCTGCTGTACATGAGTTTTTCTTACTTTCTTCTTCTACCTTTGCAGGCCTCATATAATTAAGCCATAATAAGCTGAAGTTTGCACAGGCCACTTAATAGCTGTGGGAGCAAGGTGCACGGGGGAGAAGAGGAAGCTTGGCTGGCAGGAGCAGGGGAGCAGCCCTGGCATCAGTAACGCTCTCCTGGTTCCCAGCTCATGGCTCCAGCACCAGGGATGCACAGGGCAGCTTTTTGCAGCAGTGGCACTGCCAGAGGATTTCCCCTCCCAGACACTAACTCAGTTTGTCTGTTGCCTCTGTAAAGATGGGTGGCCCTTCATGCTGGGCCTGAGCTGCTGCAGCAGGGCAGCCCACAGGCGTTTTACACGGCTGAAGTCAAAGGGAGCATTAACCTCCACTCCAACCTGTCATGCAGCTATTTGTTTCTCCTATCTCCTCTTGACAGAGCATTAGTATAGCCACACAATAAAGGAGAATTGGATTAATTTTTAAGCAAAGAGAATAAAATAACCCTAATGTACTTTTAACCCAGACCCATATGCCCTGTGGTTATGAAAAAAACCTGTCTGCCAACATTACTGGTAGCGGCAAAGACAAGTGCCCATGGAGAGGACAGGATCACAGCCTTCTCCAGCAGCACCCACACACGTTGAAACTCAGCTTGCACCACACATCTGCAGGCACCTGGCTTCCAGCCACTTCAAATTCCCACTGAGATGCAGAGCGCAGAGCAGGAGGGCTGTGGGGCTGCCAGGGCAAAGCCAGGTGGGATGGGAGGCAGGATAAGAAGCATTTGCCAGTTTTGGTTACCCTCTGTTTAAACCATAGCCTCTGTGCCAGGTTAGGCTAGTAATCTATAGACCACACAGATGACTGCATCATGGAACAGCTGAGTAAGGGAACTACAGAAAGGTCACTCCACAGAGAAGAAGGACAACAGTCAGATTGAGGAAGATAGCATAATCTTTATTATGGTTTTTATATTAACTTGCTAAATTGGTCAAGATTGTTGAGGAACAGCTTGCTAAGGACACAGGAAGCTTAATGTGATCATGGAATGCCAGCAGCACTGAAGTAAATTCATAAAAAACTGAAGCTCCCTGACATCCTGACATGAGCAATCATACAAAGAAGTTAATGGAGGTTCCCACACCAAAGCCTCTTCCTTTGGGAGAAAATAGGCTTTAATAGTTAAGACATAACATCTTAAGTATGTTCTTCACTGAAGAACCAGTGAAGGGTGAATTGTCAGAAGAGGCCCATTCTTCCTCTTCTTTTCCAGAAGCACAACTCACAGACCAAAACAGTATCTGTGGACGAACTGGTATTCAGCCCCTGTATCACAAAGGATGCTGCACTGCTGAGCAAACCTGGGTATTTACCCAACTGACAAAATCAGACAAATGAGAAAAATGGAGGAAGGGGAAATGGAAGACAAAGAACCCAAACTGCAGCAGGCCAGCTGGGCTGCCTGGTGTGTCTGGCTAGTGAACGGACAGACTGACTCACTGGATCCAGTACTGTAGGAGGAAGGAACAAAATTGTATTTATTGAGGAAATCAGGCTTCCCCGGTTTAATAGCGTACTTTGAGGGACCAACAAGAACCTACAGTAATCCTTTTCTGTTACCTGGATTTCCAGAAGAAAACAAAAAAGTCAAACTGTTAGAGGGTTAGAGTATAAGATGACCTTTATAGATCTCTCTTTTAACCACTTTGTAAGGACAGAAATAAGTTGTCAGCTTTCCAGGGTGGAGGGAAGTTATTAGATGGCATCTGAAGTCCTGACTCCCAAGATGTTGTTCTGCTTGGAGAAAGGTATGGTGATTAAGGTTTTCGATGATACATAATTATTGAGGATAGACAGAATTTTATAGTTGGAGAGGACAGGCAGGAAGATTTAACCATTCCAGTGGGTAGAAATGACATGAAGGTTAATGTCAATAGCACAAAGACACACAGGGAGACAAACAACCTCAGCTCCATGTTCCTGGCATATCCCCTTAACACCATCAGTGACGGCTTTTATACAGCTGGAGTATCATGTGCTTCCCCAATGTCAAGTCAGTGCCCCTTGAATGACAGAGGGAAAAAATTGTAATAATTCTGAAAGCAGTTGTGAACAAACAACCATAATGTGGTTTCTCCATGTCTGCACTGACACATACTTCCAACTCCTGTTCACAGAAAGGGGTGTAATATAGAGAAGATTGGGAAAGATTATCAGGAATATTAACAACCTTGGTAAGCAGCAATTAAAGCTAGAGCATTCCCACCTCTAGAAGGACTCTAGAAGGGAAAAATATGAGAAACATGAAGTTGTGAATACCGTTGAAAAGGTGAGGGAAAAAGGATCAGTTCCTCCAGGGGCACATCCACACTGCTGATCAAGCAGTGAGCAGAAGACTGAAGGAAGGGTTTATCCCCACCACAGTTCTGCTCTGCCACTTAGCTACACCAAGTATTAGATACTAAGAACAGAAATTGATTCAGAAAAGGTTTAGACAAAGCCCTGGAATAAAGGTCAAACAGCAGCTACTATAATAATTATCCAAATGTACAAAAATATACACATATTCCATTGCGTATACAAAATCTCTTCTACCAGCCATTATCAGAAGTACGATACTAGATTAGACAAGACTTTGAGCTGAAGGCACCCTTGTGTTCTCCAGAAAGTATCATTTACTACTGCATGCCAATCCTCCCTGCGCTCAGAGTCACATGCATGCAGAGCATCTACATCTAATCTGGCATGAAGGGACACCAGTCCTAAACTACACACACACATGCTCACACACGCACCAGTCATTCTCTGCTGCAGACCAGGCCAAAACTCAGACTTGGACACTTCTGGCCCAGGAAGTTAATTCTAAGCCCAGACCAAAGGTTTGCATAATCATATCTCACTCTAATCTAGTTTCTCGGGGTTACATACACAAGTACCATTTATGAAAAAGCATCAATAGTCTACAATAGTCCAATTGCTCTATTTTCACACTCAAACTACTTCAGCACACACAAACATCCTTCTACTTCTGCAAAAAACTTGATTCAAACAAACAAAGAAACCACCAATGCTGCAGCCAGAGCTAGTCCATTAGCTTTCTTTTGCCAGCTTGCATAGTCTCTTAACCCTTGAATAAGGACCAATAGTGTCATCAAAAACGAAGTCCCACAGAACTCGAATCCAGGACTGGTGATGTGGGAGGTTATCGTAATATTCTGGTGCAATCTTCTTCACCTGGAAGAAGAAGAGAGAGAACAAGCTGTTTAGCTGCAGTGTCAGGTGTGTTTCAGTCTTCCCATTCAGATCTGATAGCACAGCCGTAATCTAAATTACTTGTT